TCCAAGCTCATTAACTCAAAAAAACACTTAAAAACAAAAAAACTCTTGGTGCACCACAATGTCTCACAGCGACAGTCCCCCAAAGAAAATGGTGTAACAAGTGCTCCAAGACCACCCAACGAGGGGCTGGGGCCTTCAGGATTAGCTGGTGTCACAGAAGGCCATCATCATCTGCCAAGTTGCGCGAAATCCCACCACTCGTGCGAGAGGATTTGGATTGATCTCGCCCAAGAGCATCAGCCGCATGCTGCACTCCAACTCAGTATCATTCCTGCGCGGAATCGCGCGGAAAAGGCTCCTCTTTATCCCTTTGGCACTGCTGAGTTAGGTGATCAGGTGGCAAAGATGTTCGGTCTTCGGGGCTCTACGCCCAGCACCCCGCCCTTTCAACCTCACCTTTGGCCACCGCTCCGCTCCCGGGGGCGATTTTGCGGCAAAAGACTCACGAGCCGAACCATGTGTGGGTCGAAAACCCTTGCGCCAAGGGTTCTGAAGTGGGTAATGGAGACCATTGAAGCCGCCCTGGGCGGGGTCCTTCCAGAGGAATGATGCCTTGGATGGCGCAGGGGACCAAGTTGAAGCACAAACACCCGGAAACCGCTGGTAGTTGGAGTCTTCACAGGTCTGTCGACATCTCTGAGATATCAAACCCTCACCAACTATATATACAGTACTCTCATGGAAGTGGAAAATGCCCCCCCCAAAACCGCAATGCACCATATATTACACTGTACTGATAGTAACCGGTGTTCATGTGGCGATTCCTTCTCCCTGAGAAAGAAAAAGCGAAGCAGCGAAGCGTATCCTGTCTACGAAGCGGTAGAGCCTCACGAATCGGTCTTGTCCCTCTTTGTTCACCGAACACATCTCTATACCTGGATCTTCCTTTTGTGCGCATTCCCATATAAACCCCCAACTAGATAGGGATTCAGGTGAAGTACATCTCCACGAAAATGGTATTGGAAACTACCAGTATGATAAACTATGTAAGTATATATACTTCGACTGAGCCGGCTCAGGCAAAAATTGTGCAAAATCCGCCCCTACCCTACACCTACACTTTTACTGGCCTGTGGTGTTACAAAAACATACAGAAACACTATTCAATGAGGTCTTCAGGACCAGGCTTTACTGGGTCAGACTGCACCTGTAGAGCACTGATGCAAACCCTGCCCAGTGGCCAGGCATAGAGGCTGCTGCGTCGGTAGGTCTTCCAGTTCTTCTCTCGCTCCTGCGACCGGCCACCCAAAACAACACATGGCATCCACCCGAGGGCCCGAGGGGTGCATTTCAAAGGTGTCCAGCTTGAACGGCAAAATCAGATTTCACAAGAAAGCGGGAGTTTCGTGTTACTTAAAAAATTTCTGAAGACTCCCACTGGTCCCACTTCAGAGGAAATGCACCCAATGCGACGACGAGTTCAACCATTTCAACCCCCGCAGCTGCAAACCATGTGATGAACCCACATGGCACGAAGCGTCGATGCCTATGCGGCAGCGATGTTTCAGACAGAAGCGTCAGAGGCTCCTTGTTCATCCCATAGATATCGGACCAAAGCCCATAGTTCTCACCTGGACGTAGCTCTTGGAGGCTTGGAGGCTCTTGAAAACCAAACCGCGAGACGCCTGGTGTGCCCAGGTGAGCACGAAAAAAGCCAGGCAGGAAGCCAGGCAGCAAGCATGCTACACTCCAGAAAGCCTTCCTTCTCACATCAACTTCCCTTCAGCTTTTCCTTCGATGTGAAGAACCCAAAGGAATGCCGCATGCAAAAGCCCCAGGAAAGGGACTTGGATCCAAAGCGGAAGCAGGCTAAATTGCGCAGGCCATCTCACCCCATCCTGCCCATCCTTCTGCCATCCGGCACCCACCGAGTGTGCCTTTAATGTCATACCTCAGCTCTGGACAAGGAACAGTGTGAGTCAACCCGCGAGAAGCTCCAGAATGGATGAAAGATGTTACGTCAATCTGGCAGTATATGTGTCGATATGATATGTCATGCCTCCCGGAGTTGAATCATGCATAGACACCTCAAAATCCCAGGTATGTATGCTGGGGGTTCTAAACGGATGAACGTCATGAGTGCTCACCCAACGCCAGGCTCCGGGGCACCGTACCCTGGGATCAGGTTCAGCATGTGCAGCACAGTGGTGGAGCCAGTCCGGCTGCTGGTCACCACAAAGAGCGCTGGGACGCACTCGGAGCCTGCGTCCGTCCGAGGGCTTAGCTAGTAGCGTCCGATCGCTCCTAGTAGGGATGCCCTTTGCTCCTAGTAGCTTCTTGCTCCCAGTAGTAAGGCCAAGAGCCCCAAGCAAATGGCCCCAGAAAATGGAAAGGAGGATGACATCTTACAAGCCCTGCATGCTGCAAACCACTGCTATGCATCCAAGTGCAGCTGGGCTACAGCTATATCTCCTGGCCACGGTGCTGGACGTTGGGCATGTTGGGAGTCTTGAAGGTTGGGTGCTGAGGCACAGCACTGCTGTGCCAGCTCTTCGCAGCGTGAACATGACACCCCTGAGCAGGTGTCTTCTGATGGTTTCTGATCCCATGGGATGTTCGCGGGTCCACTTCTAACTTCCACTGTAACTTCATCAAACGTGCTTACCAAAGCCTGTGCTGCCACCTGGTTTGCTTTGGTACAAGTCACCAGCATGCTGATCCTTGCTGTTTCTTCGAGCCTCTCAAAGACTCTAAGGTTGCTTAATGTGTTGCCGAAGCTCTCACGTCTTCTCATGAGACCATGATCCTCTCACTCTCAGACAGGAAGGGCCTAAGTCTTGAGGACTTGGACTTCCGCACGGTCGGCCCGGTCAGCAGCTCATCCCACCCGTCGGACGGTCGGCCGTCCCATCGAGACTGCCCGGCTCTGCCCGGCTCCTCTGCAACTGCTGCGCGTGTTGCAAAAGCTCCACATGGCCTTGAAGGTGAGGGATGACATGACACAGCTCAGCTGGGCTGTCTCAAAATGACAGCGCTCCAAGCAATGGATGTTATGTCATCTGCTTTCCCAAACTACGTGATTGGGGGACGTCTTTCATCTTTATGCCAAGACACGCCAACACATTGGTGCTTTTGTCACCATGTCCCTGACAGTCTGGAACCTCCTCTGCACTTGACCCAAGCTCAAAAATTTGGGTCTCAAGACCGACCCAGATGCACAATCTACAAAGACTGTGAGGACGACAAATGAGTAAACACCCACTTATATAAGCGGTTCCTGCTTTGTCGTGGTGGATCGAGTTCACGTGGGCATCCAGAGGGTGGTTGACTTGTCCAGCACACCACAAGAGTATCCCTGACTGCACTTGAAGACGTTAAGGGAATCTGGTGACAACGCAAGTTCACATCCAAACAACTCTCGGCCCCCAAGCGACATTCTTCCAGCACCTGCTCGGTAGAGGACGAACATGACTGCCCCATGGCTCTCTGTGTGGAAACCCTCTACATCTTTCGGCATGAGAGGACTCACCTGCCATCCCTGCAACAAGCTTGTGCTAAGCCTCTCTTGCCTCCTCCGCCTGAGCCAAGCAAGCCAAGAAGGCTACCAGGCGCCATGGAACCTGCGGACTACGAGGGCCGAGCTGTTGGGCCTGGACGTCACGAGAAGCAGAACAGCTAACAATACACAGTGGACTTTTGATGAACAAAACTCCGCTGTTTGGATTGTAAAACATCTTCAAGAGTCTACGTTAGAAGGGAACCTCCAGTTACTCCTCCAGTTCCTCCTCCATGCTTTCACTGCTTGATGGGTGGGCTTCAAAGACGGTTCGGATGCTTCGCGTGTTGTTTTTCGGACAAAATATCGGGTCCACGGAAAACGAGTCCGGTAGGGTCAAGCGGGGGGGAGGTGCAGTGGAATGAAAAGCATCAATGGCTCTGAAAACCCCTCCCAACTGGCCGTACCGCCGTACCTAGCTGAAACCATGCAAAATACACACACAGATATATATATATATATATATATCCATGTTATCACTGCCAATCCACTTCCAAACCACCCAGTTCCATGCCGCTCGGCCGCCCAATGGCCCCCCAACGGCGCACCATCTTCGCTTCTCGGACATGGCCGACTGGCATGAGCTTCCGCCCGGCCAGCTGCAGGAACCGAGATGCAGCAGATCAAGCAGTTAGATCCTACCCCGAGGTCCCCGCACTTGATTTTGGCCGCCACTTTCTGGGGATTACATCCCATCTGGTTTTTGCTGTCTATCCTTCAGCTGGGCATTGGTTCGGAGGAGGCGGGGGACCTACACATGAAGCTGGGACTCTGCAAGCCCCTCATCCACCTTCTAGCCAGAGGTGGATCATCGCTGATCAGGACCCGCTCAGAACGTATCTATAATCTGTGGCAGGATCTGGCAGGGCGGGTGTGTGGGGGACGTGGTCTGTCTACTCTAAAGTGTGGCTGCTGTCTGTGAAGATGTGGAAGAGAGAATGCTGTCTGGACCAAACAGGCCAATGTTGGGCTGCTCCCTGACCGAGTGTCTGAACTTGACTGATTGAATCAATCAATGATTGTTAAAATGCTCAGCGGGACTGGCCCTAAGTCGGAAGGCTTGCTTCACTGACTCATGAACCTTGACCTTGATTCATATAACCTCCCCAAGACATGGATTGTACAATTGTATAACCTCTTCACATAGGTGGATTAGTAAATATAATCAATAGTCTTCACTAAGTCTGTTGCCCCCTAATTAGCCACCTTCTGGGACGAAAACACGGCGAATCCGCACTCCTTTTGGCGTCCCCGTGGGGCGCGCGTGTGTTCGCCGTCCGTTCTGACCTAGGACCACACCGGGTGACCGACAGGGCCGGAGGGGGGCGACCTCAAGGCACCTGGCCTTCCTGGCCTTCCCAAGCAAAACCGCAAGAAGAGGGAGAACAGAAGGTAGACTACCATGACTACCCCAGAATCGCCTGGTGGCAGTGATATGTCCGTTTTGCACGGCCCAAAGCAAATCCAGTTCTCTTGCTACGGCCCACCAAACCAATACTTCTTTTTCGCATCAGCCATCACAGTCGAAACTAGTCTAAGCCGCCTCTCGGCTCTTAAGGAACCCCCTCTCTCGCAAGAGCTGCACGATGATTTGGAACACCAGCACATTGGTGGGGACGATGGATAAAACGAGGATGACCAGCAACAAAAACTGCTGGGTCCTGGCGGCCCATGCGGTTGCACCGGTGGTGTGATGAAACAGCTGCGCCACAAGTTCCCGACCAACTCGTAAGCTTCTCTGATTTGGGGGACGTGGGGGAGATGCGCACCCAACATGCGATGAGAACTGGTGTCGTAAACATGTCTATATAAACAGAATTTACTACTACTTGCGTTCATCGATCTATTGATCCATTTTGACGCCGCATCCACTTGCGAACCTGAACAATGAAACAAATGCCAGGTCTTCAGCGCGCCCGGGATGCCCCTCCGCTTGATCCCGTGTCCTCAATTACATTACATTTGGGTTACCCAACCCTGTTCGATTGATCAACCATCCCGACTTTTGGTTGGCACTGTTCTTCCCGTGGTTCCAACCCTCGAGACCTTCAGGGCCCACTTTCTTTTCGGCCCACCCGTCAGGAGCCTGTAGGTGCTGGACCAATGGTACTCGTTGGCGAGGTAACAGCTGGTGACGCTCACCATGGCCAAAGACACGGTTAACAGGGTCTTCTCCTGAGGGGGTTCCACTCTCCGTTTCCCTTCCGAGGCGGAAGGAAATCCGGCTTTTGGGGGGGGAAAGAAGGCATCTATAGTCTGATGAAAGGAGCCCCCGGCATGAAAAACGTGTGCACCTTTCTGTCCGTTCTTTCCGTTTCCTCTTCCTTTTCCTTGTCCTTTTCCTTTCCTTTCCTTCTTCCTTCTTTTTTAATGTTTCACGGCGTCAAGGAGTGATCCTGCTGCAGCGTTGCGTCAACCCAATGAAATCCCCTAAGATTTTGAGGGATGCAAAAACCAGCTTCTCGACCCACTCACATCCCCGGAGCCGATGCTCATGGTTTCACAAGGTTTCACATTATCGCCCGTGTTGAGAGCCACTTTCTGGCCGAAAATTCCAGAGAGCGAGCAAATGACGTACATTTTGATTGTTGGTTTTGCAGTCACTTGCAGCCACTTGCTCAGGCAGCCACTTGGCAGCCACTTGTCACTCAAGCACGTAAACTTCAACACTGTACTTTGAGTTCTTTATGTAAGAACTGTAAGATTTCTTCGTCGCTAGCTCTGCAGAAGTTCGGATGTTTTTCTCGGAAAAGTCTTGGACTATTTCATGATTTCTCCGCGCGCAGCTCGGGAGAAAACCGGAATTTCTTCGCAGAACAGCATTGCAGAAATCTTGGTTTTCTTCAGAAATCATGATATTCTCCGGACAGAAGTAGCAGTCACTTGCAGCCACTTGGCAGCCACTTGCAAGTGGCTGCAAGTGACTGCAAAATGGAAAATCAAAATGCGCACCTCGACCTGTTTTCCTCGGGTTCCGCACAAATGATCCGCACAAGTGCACACGGGCCTCCAGGTTCCAGAAGGAATCCTTGTAGGGCCGGAATTGCATCTCCAGAATTAAGGCTGTGAGCAAAACCAAGCCTCACACGAAGGAGGCGCCGGTCGGCCGATCCCTAATAAAAAGCGCGTTGAAAGGTTCGAGGTGTTTGGATAGGTTTCTATTAGACTGGCAGGGTGGTTCTCCGAGCAGCTGCCGGTGGGGGAAACAAAAAAGCCGAGCGTGCGAAACATCCAATTCGAGCGATGAAGCCTGGTGTTCTGGTCCAACGCCTGGATTGTGTGTCCTCACTGGCGGACCTTCAGCGGCCGTGATAGTGGACCAATCCTTGTGTTGTCACACTACCCTCCAAACTACTATAGTTCTTAAGACAGAAGAAAACCTCCAAGAACCAAGACCCCCGTCCCTTCGTCCCAGTCCCTCTCTCCCCTCACTTCCACACGAGTTCGCCGCTCTGGTCCCAAACATCCGACTTTAGGAGTACCATTTATAAAAAGTGATTTACTTCTTGTCTATTTTGCTTTCCCTGTATTTTAATGGTGGTTTCTGTCGGTTGGTCAGTTCCCCTTCTTTCCTGCTCTTGGGATTACACCGCCAGGCCAAGAGCGGGCCCCAGATCCAAGAAGGGGGCCCAAGGAATCCCAGGCGATGGACCGTCTATCTCTTCTCCAATCCTCTCCACCCGGGCGGCTGATGCACATGATCTGCATCGCGGGGTGAAGACTGACAGGTAAAGCGGCACAAATGACAGCCTCACGACCAGGGTAGGGCCGGGTAGGGGGGTTCTCACACGACGTGGTCCGGCCGGTTGTGTCCAAAGAGCGGTCGACCGACCAGGTTTACTGGTTGTGTCTAGCAGCTCCATGCTCACAGTAGTTCCAACAGCTGGACATCATGACTGACTTCCAAAAAAAACGGGGCGGCTGATGTCTATCGCCGTCTTGTGTCCATGTTTTAAACCAATCTGGTGGGTTGCCCTCCCCCCGCAGCCCACGCGCTCTCGCGCTCCCCCACGGCGCTCTATCTCGTCCACTCGCCCTCGCCCTTCCGCTCCGCCACTCCTTCAGTGGTTCCCCACGCAGGCGCTCCGGGGCCCCTCCCTTGCGGGCCGGTGTTTTTCGACAGGTCCAGTACACACATAGTAAGTATGCTGCCACTTGAGAGAGGAGGGGGTGAACGAAAGGTAATACATTTTTGCTAAAGCAAGGAGAACTCAGGTAGCCTGAGGCTACCTTTCGTGACTTTGGGGAAGAAAACCCCCTCTTCAGCCCCGTGCGATCGTTTCTCCGCTGAGGGGCCAAGAAGACCTTCCGCACCAGACGAGTCACCTCCCAACTCTTCAAGTCCTGGCGCTGACACAGCCGCAGGCAGACGGACGGACGTCGGAGGATTCCATCGGGGCGGCTGGGAGAGGGAAGAAGCGCACCAGGGGTTGGGTGGGAAGAAAGCCACACGAAACCATGCGCTACACTTGGTAGGAGATAGGGAGTATGATTTACACTGCCAGACTGACATCGACCTGAAAACCATCAGTTTGTAGAGGACAATGGTTCTGCCAAAGGCTACAAGAACCATCCCCCCACGTTCGAGGAACCATGCTCCTCCTTGTAGGAGGCTGAGAGGTAGAGGTAGTAGGGCGCGTCAGAATGGCTCTTATCGCTCAAGAGCCGCCACCACAAGACTGGGCCAGAACAGGCGATGGCAGCCACTAAGAGCAGCAGGCCCAGCAGGGAGAAGCCAGTGTACATCCTTGGACTCAGGGACAAGCCGGGCACACTCCCTGCAATACTCATGGTTACGTGGATGGCACCACCTGTTTGGTCTTCGGAAAATGTTCATCGAAGGGTCCATTTTCCAGTGTCGTGATTATTCTAGGGAGTGGGGTGTACATCCTTGGACTTCTTGGTGGGAGGTCACCAGTGGAGCCGCAGGGAGGGGACGAAGTTGGGAGGGGATGGAGTCGCAGGGCCCTTTGGAAGACTACTTTCCTCACTAACAGGGTGTTTCCGCTTCCATCTTGGTGACGGAGACGTGAGAGGGGTGACCGGATTTCCCACATTCAGGGTGACCAAGTTGGGATCCCAGACCTAGATGACCGTGCCAGATCCCTCACTGCAGGGACTTCCAATCTATTGAGACTTGGTCTAAACAGGCGTTCAATCTCTTAGGGCGAGAGTGGATTGCAACTCCCTTCGTACCGCGGCATCCCACCACAAGTCCACAGAAAAAGAACAATTCAAACACACGGCACTGCTTGACCAACCCCACAGAAGGCCGGGATCATAGGTCTGGTGGGGATGCTCAATGATTTTTGCCATCCATGACCTACCGTCATCTACCATCATGGGTATTTAGACCAGCTCGCCCTCCCAAAGCCATCCACTGTTTGGTCCGACCAATGCCAAGCGTCCGATAGGCGCAGAAGAGCTCGCCGCCCTCGTGCTCCGGCTCCATGCGGTAGCATACCAAGTAGCGCGCAAAGCACAAGCAAGCTTTCGGCAAGAAGCAGTTCCTGCTCTGTGAAACGCGCGGCGTTTAACCAAAATGGTTTGGTCTGAGTCATGTTAGGGTACGCCCCTAGAGGTGTTCATCTGTTGCTGGTGGGGACCCCTGGGAGGTCTCATTGTTTGGAGACTGTAGCACTCATACATATTCATACTGCTTCTGTTCCTCAACCGTTACGTGAACAAGTTCATGCTGATGGTGAACGCTGGTCCGTGTTCCCAAGTGGGAATGAACCTTTGGCGGCTTGCCTAGAAGACTTGGGATTTGCACAAGGAGTTCCATGAACAGCATCCTGGAAGATTCACACGGAACATCATGAACCCCAATAACACTCAGTTTGTAGTGGAACCCAGGTCTTCCAGAACTGCTCTGGTCAGTTCAGCTGTCTCATGTGCCAGGTGGCACACCCACCACCGCTGCAATGCGCCATCCCCGCATCGCCATGAGCGCGGCGATGGCGCAGAAGGGGGTGAAGAGGGTCAGGAGAGCACGGCACCACCAGTTCTTGGGGAGGTTCCTGAGTGCGACGACATCAACATGGCTGCGCGAAATGCCTCGTTGGGACCCTTCAGAAATTCCAAACGGAAAGTATTCCGACAAAATGGCGGTTACACAGCCGAGGTCAATGTGCACTTTGTCTCCAAGCTAGCGGCTATAGCGAGAACCATGGAGGTTCCTGTTGTAATAGAATATGCGTGCAGTGAGCAAGGACCTGGTTTCGCTTGGGCGTCTTGGGCTATGCACTTGCAGTGCCTTGCAGTGCTATCAGCCCTATCCACCAGAGTACGGCAAGGGAAGGGCCTCCACGTCAGAGAAGCTCGACATCTAATTCACCCATCTCACGGCCAGGTGGCGAGTTGGTTTTTCCGATTTCAAACTCATCCTCTCCCAGAAGTGACGAGCAGCCCACCGCCAAGTCTCAAACAGCCCACTGCCAAGTCTCAAATATCCCTGGATACATCTCGCAGACATTCCGCCCGCTGCGCTGGAGCCTGGAGACATCTCCAACCAACTGGTCTGTGTTTTGGTCGGGTCATCCCTTCTTCCGGGGTCGGGCGAATAGGGGGGTCTCCCCGGACTCCACGCCGCCACACGTTCTTGGAGCCTCTTCGCCCCCCCTACTCTCACTCCTCCCACCATCAAGCAACGATGCGCATGCGTCTCCAAGCCAAGTGCTTCCCAGGAGTCACGCAAATGATGACAATTAGGCAGGGCAGCGATTCAGTGTTGACTCTATGTACATTGTATCCATCAATGCCAATCCATACCACGCGTATCCCTAGCTCTGCAGGTGCAGAACGGAGCGTCCTCTTGTCCAACTTCGGATTGGATGGCCAGCGCGCCTGAGCCTTCGCCTGCCTCGACTGAGGTGGAGAGGCCCTCCACATAGACATCCAGGTGGGACCTATGGGCGCCGGGAGGTCAGGCTGAGGACATGGGCCATGGGCCCAGAATGGGGGCCGCTTCCTGTTTCGGAGTCCATGTCGAAACATGGTTCAAGATCCCCCCCCGCTACGACGCATGTGGATTCACGTGAAAACCCCGGACGCAAGTGTCAAACCGTGTCACCGTGAAAAAGGAATGAGCCGAGCGGCATGATCCGTTTGAAGGTCGGAGTCTCCTGGACGGCTTGGATCACAGGACCGGCAGCCGCCACGAAGGACATGAAGTGATTCGTCAAGATCTTGCTCTCCTCGGAGGCGTGCGGCCGGGGCGGGAGAGCGGGGCTCAGCCGGCAGCTGGCGTGTTCAGCATGGAGGGCATGGAGGTATGGGGTGATAGGGGTGACCTCCAGGGAGGACTTGGTGGGAAGAAGGGCCTCCTGGGGAGGGAAGGTACTCAAAGGAAATTGGACAAGAAAATATGATGAGCACCAAAGCCACTAAGCTTTCTGATATTGTCTGGTCCCTTGATGTATTTTTGATGAGTATAGGCAAACGTGTCTAATGAAGAATGGAAAGGAGCACGTTCGGCGATCCTAAAACATTGGCAGCCTCAGCAAGTCCCGCATAATTCATATGGTAGGACCACCATAGAAAATGGTAGGAACATGGTCCACCACTTTGGTCTATAATACATAGATCCCAAATCCCCTGTCCCCCATGCCGACCTTGCTCATTCACATCCCTTGCCGACCTGTCCGCTTCGCTCTCTCCTCGCTCCCCGGTCCTTCTCGCCGCTCGTGGAGGCCACGCCCGAGACGGAAAGAGCGAAGAGGAGCAAATCCTCCAGCACGAAACGGCCCATTTGCATCCGCTGCCGCCACACCGAGGAGGCACATGCAACACCTGAGGCGGGGAGGGAGCAGGACTTGGAGGTGTCTGAGCTGGAACAAGAAACATGGACCTTTTGAACTGCCTCAAGGAACTAGGTGCGTTTGCGATTAAAGATAATTAATTTATATATAGAAATGTGTGGGAGTTCTGGCACCGAAAGAGAGCTAAGGGCCTTTCTACCACCGGCCCTGCGGGCACAAAAGGGCACACGGCCGTTCAAGGACGGACATCTGTGGATGCCCTTCACTTTTCGTGAGAGAAAAACTTGGCAAAGGACCTATTCCTGGGCACAGCTGCCGTCCGAGGCACACACGAAGCGGTTGCTGTCCGAAGACCCATAGCCTTTCTCACACTTCACACAGCCTTGACCTGCGAGCTTCACGGGTGTGCATGCGGATTGGGAATGATTCCAGGTTCCCTGCGTCCAGCCGGACCCAAAGGAGCGCACGCCAGTGATATGCACCACTGGTCCATGCATCAGGAAAGCCCCTCTTTGTGCCATCCCACGATGTTTTCTTGAACACATTGCCTGAGGATCGAATCTTACAATAAAAAAGCCTGGGAACAGCTGCTCCTTTTCAAGAGCACCCTGATACCTCAAGGCCAGGTACAGTAGCCCTCGATCTGTTTGCCCAGCCTCTGTAGCCCTCCGCGCACATCTCTCCAAAGCCTTCGGTGGAAATCTCACCGCCCATGCACGCTAGGCGATTCGGACAGCGAAAGCTCCGGCTGATGTTGGCCTGTGCGGCGCCCGCGGCGGAGGCGCCCGTGCGGGTCGGAAGGAGTGGCGCCTCGTGGTCCCCGGCACACGGCTCAAATCCCCAAACATCCGGCTGTTCTTGTCAAAAAGCTCTGAGAAGGTGGAGTGGCATGTGCGTCCCAAAGCGCAGGACTTCCATTTTCAGGCCTACGTCATTCAGCCCGGCGCGGCACACGGTGTGTCACATGCTTCTTGGAACCCCTGGATACACATAGAAGTCACCATGTCCTTGGTCCTCTCTTCAAAGACTTCCTGACGGTGGCTGTAGGGACCAGCAAGTCTTGTGAAAAGGGTGTGGCTGCAACTGTCTGGTTGTCCGGTCCCAGTTTTCAACCGGCCTTTTCTACCATGTAGCCGATCTTCAGCTTGAGGTGGTGCATGTCAACATGCGCCGTGCCACGGGGTGCGGACCAACAGGTCTTCAACGGCAGATCGTCGTCCAAGATGGGATTTCCAAAGACTTGGATCTTGTTCTCCTGCCAAGGTGAAGACCCAAACCGGGGGCCCCCGTGCTGGAAACCTCACTGACTCAAACAGTACAGGGACTCGAATGCGGTTCTGGTGATGAGGTGGGGAAGGCAAATCTCCTATCATCATGGGACTTGAACTGACAAGTATCTGAGAGGCCTGCTGTCAAGGGCAAACCTCAAGTGGGGTGATTCAAGGGCAATGCTTGCTCCCAAACTTCCTAACCAAATGCTTCAAATCATCGCCATATGCGCTACCGGAATACTTCGTTTGCTGGAAACCATTCTACAGTAGACCATGTTATTCCAAGCATTCAGCCAGCGATCCCTTTTAATCCCGTTCTAGCTTGCCACTTGCTACACCCGCATGAACCCGTTGCTCGCTCAAAGAAATCCATGACCCAAACCCGCGAGCGCGAGTTCGACTAAGAATGCAGGAACGCACCACTCACCGTGAGTGCGCATCTTGGCATCTCTGCATAGCGCGCGATACACGCGCGCCCGCGCCCGGAACAAAAGAGGTTCGAAGCCGGCCTCACAGCTCACACAGCCCACATGGTGTGGCTGCTTGAAGCTGGCAAGGCCATTGTCGCACTTCACCTGGACAGCTCGGGCAGTCCTCGTCCCAACGACGACCCCGTCGGTCCTGCTGTTCGGTCGGTCATGCGGTATGCCTTTTTCAGTGGAGCTTTCAGCGGGGAGCTCCGGTGGTTTTCCATGTTTTTTCCTTCCTGGTGTTGGCTGACCCTGATGGGGTGCAAGAAGTCGTCCTATGATTAACCCATGTCCCTCTCCACATAAACCCGACAGGTGAACTTTGCTGCATCTCCACCGCACGGCTGCCATCGCCATCTCCACCGAGCCTGCCTGCTTTAGATGGATCTCTGGGGCGACGAACCACACGTGCGAGGTGTTCCTCAAAAGGTGCGCATGAAATCAGTGAAGGCAGGCAAGGACACATGTTGGAAAGCCATGCTGTGCGAGAAACCTGGCGAAAACCCATGGAAACCACAAATCCAGTGACTGAAGGTTCAGCTCTTGCTACCCACAAGGGCCCGCCAAGAAGACGCTCGAAGCTGTTGAGCGTCTCTCCTCTGTTGGGCAACCTGTGACCTGTTTAACAGCGTAGCTTGATGTTCCTACTGCCAGGCTTGTGTGGGCAGCCACCTCTCAAGCATCGCATTTACACCCCCATGCTGTTCACCGACCCAGGAACATCTCTATATGGCTACGGGTGAAAGCCGGGACACCCTGGTTGACCACCAAGAATGAACGGAGGTTGACCTACCCTGCCAGATCAACCTACCCTGGTTTAGCGGCTCCGGTTGACCCACAGCCATACAATGTGCTACAGTGCTACAGTACATAGGTAGAAGCTGCACAATCTTCCAGCCAAAGCTGCTCCAGTGACAGGTTGGACATGTTGATGAGCTTCAATGCTGAGATCTGTGGCGCCGACGTTCTCTGCATCACTGCGTGAGTTTCTTCCGGGATGATGACCTGGCAACGGCCAAAGGAAGAAGAGGATACTCCCCCAGCCTGACTCCCAGCTACCCCCAAAAACAGTGGAAATCCAAAATAAATCTGCCCAAATCCCCCTCGAGCATCAGAATATGATCCCTAAGTCCCTAAGTGATGACCCAGGTCCTTCACGGCCTTGCAAGAAGAAATAATTAACAGACATCTGACTCATCTGACATCCATCACCTATGCATCCACCCCGAGCTACTCTCCCCCAGCCCCCATTCCCCAGCCTCACCGGTGGACTGGATCACACCGCCCGCCAGCGCGGTGATGTTCCTGAATTCGCTCTCCCCCAGCAGCCGCACGTCGCGCCCGTTCAGCGCCCCACCGAAGGCATCGGCGCCGCAGTCCCGGAAGAGGGCGCGAGCGGTCCTCGGGTCGTCAGCCGAAGCGGGGGCGAAGGAGAAGGAGAGAGGTTTTTGGGTGAGGAGTGCATCGAGGTCAAGTCTCGGCTCATGGAGCTTCATGCGCCGAGCGGCCAAGTCTCGGCTCGCCGCGACCGGGTCGCGACCAGTCGTTGCAGCCCGAAACCCGTGGAACGCCGGACCAGGCCAGTCTTGGGCTTAATCATCAGCACGCCCATGAAGGAAACAGGGGCAGGAAACGCACGTGCTGCTTTCTTTTTTGGGGGGGTGTCTCAGGAAATGGTAAGGTATTACAACAAATCTCTCTGTTGATGGCGTTCTGTTGCTTCCACTTCCTTTTCAACACAAGAGAGACAATAAGTTAAGCTGGTCCAAAGGGATCAAGATTGACCATCTCTTTGAATTGCGGGTCAGCATACAAAGGGACAGCAACAGGCCCCATCTCTACAGTTTACATGCGGCCATCCGCAACAGCAAAAGCAATAAAACGGTCAGTACCCCCAAAAGAAAAAGGTACAAACCATTCCGGTGCCGAAGGCTTCGTGAGTTTTTTCTTCCTTCGTCCATCTACTCATACAGACCATCTCTCAGGTGCCTTCACCTCCCTCCACCGCTCCACGCCCGAGCGGCGGAGCCAACAGCAGGTCCTGCCGCGCATAGAGCGCGCCGCCGGCGCCCGCCCAGCAGCGTTCGAAGGTCGTGGAGCCCAACAGCTGGACGCTGCCCCGGGCCGACCTCGGTGGCGGTCGGGAAGCCAAACCAAAAAAACACACGAGGTATAACGAGGTGGAAAGAAAGGGAGGATCTGGTGGAAGGAAGGAAGGTTGTTTAGAGGACTTCTCTCTCTTTGTGTGGGTGTGGGTTTCATGACATGGCTTTGAGGTGGTGAATTGTATCAAGAACGGCCACCCCCTCCTGCCACAAGACCTTGGAAAACGACCCTTTGCTTAGAGGTTGGTCACCAACCATGGATTCCACCGTTGTACCCAGAAGCGCCACGGGCATACAAACCAGTGGTCAAGGTCAAGCTGTCCAATGTGCCAGGCGTGAGAAAGCAACCGAGAGATCAAAAGCGGGCGTCTGTCAGCTGTCAATATCATGAGTGCAACATCTCTGGTCAAAGTGTCGGATCCTCCAGCTAAACAAAAGCAAAAGAAGCAAAAATGGACCAAAGGTTCCCAAGAACAGAAACTGCACCTAAATGAACCCCAACTGTGGATCTCCCTCTGAGTCCAAAAAGTGAATGCCCCCCCAACACGCGCAACATGTTCCTTTTGGAAATGCTCATAGAGTAGGACACTAGGGTCAATCAAGAATGCAGTTGGGTCACTTGAGGCTCTTGATGTACTTGCTGAGCCTGTTCCTGACACGAAGAATTCATCCACCAACACGCTGCTGGGGGGTGGGCCATAGACCTCATAACACCACAAACCAAAACCAGGATTAGCTGGTAAAAATGTCATAGCACCTCCCTGACCTACCTTGTGTGAGTTTCTGCGACTCATTCCGACGCCGGCCTCATGTGGCAGCTGCACGAAGCAAACCCACAAAACAAACTTCCAGAACTGACTGTGACAATAAAGAATCGCGCGAGTCCCGTTGAAACAGTCCGCTACAAACGAAACTCGGCCCATCTTACCCCATCTTAGGCAGTGCAAAGTGAAATAAGAATAAGACCTTCGGCACCTGGAAACTCCCACCCCAAGCACAACTTCAACCTACTTCGGTGTCACATGCCAAGGTTGGTGGACCACGTGCGGGACGGCGCTGGATGACAAAGAGACTCACAAAACCTAACGATCATGTCCCTACCGGTCAATGACCTCATTTGACTGGACGTGATCATATAATGCACTACTTCAGTAACTTAAGGATGTAAAGGCCCAGGTTTTACTGGGCCTTTGGACGTGCATGGTGTGTGCATCACATTTCCCAGCAACAATGGATGATGATGCTTAGTAAAGGCCATTCTCTCAAACAGAGATAGTTGTCACCGACCGACTGTGACAGGGTCATGGGACACCCCCAATGCTCGCAATATCGCAGTTGAATCAATCGCCGGACGAATCGCACACAGTGCACTACTTGCCGCACCCTCAGCCCAAACAGTGACTCCAACTGAAGCTCTTGAGGACGATGCCTCTTCAGCCGGTCACAGGGAGTTTTTGGGGCTTCAAGGCTTCCGGGTGACAGATCGGGAGGTTCGAAGTGGTGCTACGCTGCTACACCATTTGGCGCCAGCCGACTCGGCGCGGCCGGTCACCCTGTCGCACACCTCGCCACCGGCCTTCGGTTCGCCGCCGGCGAGCCCTTCTTGCCCACCCCGCCAGCACCGACCCGAGTGAACTTGAGGTCCTTGGGGGAAGGGATGTCAAACAGAAGAGGGAACGGGTCAAGGGCCGGGAGGGTTGTGAGTTGGTGTCTGCCCCTCAGAAATGTGAAAGGTGGATGAGAATGGTTGGGGACCTGCCCTAAAAGAGATCAGATCCATCTAGACAACAGTGACGCAGGACTGATCTCAACACCGTCACTGTAGTCGTCTGCAGGTGTGGATTCGGAATCCCGCTGAGAGCGCCAAGCGCGTCACCTCTCGAGTCCAGAAGCCGGGTTTTCCAAGTGGGCGGATTGGAAACTGCCGCTGGGAGCATTTTTTCTTCATAAGGTGCACACCATGCCTATGACACGGAAGCTTGATTGGAGGGGCACGGCGGCATGCCATCCCACCATGATCCACCGTGACATGCCACGCGTGAGAGGAGACTTCCTGGACAGTCCAGGGCACCCGGGGTCCCCGGGGTCGCCGGGCATTGGTGGCCCAGTCTCCACATTGGTGGCATCCGTCACACTCATGGCACCCCCGGACCGCTTGGCCGAGCAGTCTTCGAAGGCCATGTCACCTGGCCAGCCAACACGGCAGGCGTGGGTGAACAAGGCTGGGGAGTGTCAAGGAGGACGGTTGGACTCTCAAAATGCTCAAGGGTTGCCATCCATGTCCTGCTGCACCATGTGGCTCGGTTGGAAGGAAGTGACCATGGTCTCCCAGGTTTTGTTGGGGGGGCCGCGAAGTAGGCCCGGGTTGGATCACCGTCTTGCCGGACGAGGAGTCACCTCGTAAGCCATGAGGGAAGAGGCCCCCCCATTGACTTCACAGCCTTTCATAGCGATCTGGTAGGCTTCCAACCACCATTGACTTCATAGCTTGTGCCGAACAACCATTCTTTTGCCTAAGAATTGTTCACTCTGCAAAAGCACCACCAACCACAAGGTCAACCTTTCCTTAGGGAAGATGGAAGTCTGACTTCCATCTTCCCTAAGGAATAGGGGGTTCCTTTTCGATCCCTTCCACAGCCATGGGCGTCGGCACCCCGCCTTTCTGCTGGACGCTGGCCGCGAAGATGGCACCCCCCGACTTCAAACTGCGACACGTCGTGAAATGGGCCGTGCTGCCTGCAGGGAGTACAGCAGGTGCACCCCCAAACGACCCACGCGTTTTCTCCTCCATGCCATGTGTGGAGGCCATTGAACCAGAAACCTACGGCTGAAACCGGGGCGCGTAGGGCTTCGAACCCAGCGGCGGGGGGGGGGAGGCCAATCGCTGGGCTTCGAACAAAATGATCAGCGGTGAGAAGTTGGACGTCGCACTCGGCGGTGAGACACTGCACATGATAGAGAATATAGAGAGAATATAGATGAATATGCAACTAACGTAGAGCTATGGTAGAGACATCATCTGGAGATAGGTACAGGATATGTTATGTACTCAACTCATCCCTAGTTAGCTAAGAAGTTGAAGAATGTGTTGCTTTCGCCCAGTCTGAGCTTTCAAACTCTGATCTTTTGCTCCTGACTTGCAAAACCTCCCATCCCAAAGACCAAGCTGCAAAGTCCTGCAGTTCCAAAAAGCCACAAGAAAACAACCGCAAATCTGATCAATCCAAAAAGTCTTGATGGACTGACTGGACGTCCGCTCACACGAGCTCCAACCATCGTCTGAGAAGGGGGACCCAACCAACCTGGTCGAATGGGAAGCCAGCAAAAGCTGCCAAGCAAGCCTCCACCCTTCCCCATGAGCCTTCCCACTGCTCAATTTGGCCAATGGAATGGATGGCGCCCCCACTGCCCACCGATTTGCAATCCTTGAAGCTCATCTCTCCTGCAGCCCATGAGCGTCAAACCCCCCAGCATCCCTCAGCCAAATGCTGGAAGGCGGCCTCACGTACCAGTCGATTGCAAGGGTCCCAAAATCACCAGCAACATGGTTTTCCAGTTCGATGTCCTGCAGATCCTACAGTTCATGAAGGGTTCGGAATCGACCAACGGCTGAGTCGTCTCCGAGACCTCTATGACTCGCTGACGTCCGGACCGCGACGTCGCGGACGGAGCTCGAGTGGGGCATCGGTGGAACCGGGCGTCCAATGGGACCCTAAACTTCAAAGAGCAGCCTGATCACTTTCATTACTATATATATATATATATATCCCCCTTGATTGGGGGAATATCCTGCCAGAACTCCATGTTATAGAGAATGCCGAATGCCGGCTATGAAATACTAAGACCATCATATTATATATATATATATATTTCTCTATGAAATGAAGAGCAAACCTTTCTATAAAATGGGTAGCCATGTTCAGGCCATCCACGATAAAGAAGATAGAGAAGAAGCCTGGGATCTACCTCTGATTTCGAGCTCTTTCAATTTGGGAAACTCTCGGCTTCCAGAACGCAGCTCAAGACATCTGTGTAAAACCATATCGTGTGTTCTCTATAAAATGGATTTGCTCCTGAATAAGAACCATTCATCTGCCACCACGTGTCTCTTTTATATAATGCATTGCCTCTCTCTGCCATGGTCATTCCGACCAATCCCCCCCTCCACTCTATGAAATGATGTTGCCTCCTCTTATGTCCATTATCGGAACGGGACTTTTATATAAAGTGAAGTGCCTTATCCCATTTCATAGTGGAAACAGATACTCATGTCATAGAGAATCAATCATGGGGGATATATATATATGTTACACATCGTGTGGGGGGGGGGTGACCCCCTGATCTTATAGACACCAAGACGTCTCAAAAGAGTTCATCCGAGAAAAACTGTGAGCTTGAAGCTTCTGGAAAAGCTCAATCGACAAGATCCCATCAAGCTCCTATTAAAACATCTGTGACATTCACCTGCGCACCCCAACCCGGAGAAAAAGGAACAGGCATCGCTCAAAACCCAAATCCATGCAATGTATATGCCAACATGTGTGGCTGGGCAGGGAAATCCTTCAAGCTCCCCCGTTTACAACATCAACTCATAGAGCCACAAAGCCCACAGCCTTTATATTATAATATACATGTTCCATGCTTTGCAGCCTCACGGCTGAAGTCTACACGATGTGGCCATTCCTTCTGGATAACAATCCACCAAGCGGCCCTTCTGCTGGATGACTCCTACCACATGCAGCGCACCCCCCATGTGCGCGCGGCAACGTTGGAAGCTCATCTGCCCGCTCAGCCGCAGTACCGCTTGGGCATAGATGGCACCACCGGAGGTGGCAGCGCGGCAGCGCCAGCAGGCAAAGGTGCCACCCTCCTGGTACAGCTCAAAACTCCATGAAATTGACCGGAAAACCTAAGGAAAATGGACCTCTTTCTGGTTGTTTTCCTGGACAACTCTTGATGACCGATCGCACTGATGGAAGTCCGACCGGAAATGTTCTGAAAACTGAATTCTGGGTGTCTGTTTTGAACCCCAGGCACTCCTTTGCCTCCAGTGTTCCAGGTCTCTCACGGTCAAGCTCGCCCCCAACACCTCTGAAAGAATGCCCCCTTCGATCACAGATGTGATGCCCCCAACCGCAGCTTGACCTTCCACACCTTCCATCCACCGACCCCACCGGTCCCATACACCGCGCCTGCGTCACGTTGATGGCCCAGATGGCGCCCCCGTTGCCGGCGCTGGCCGTGACGTTCTCGAAGCGCACGTCGGCGGTGCCCAGCAGCGACACCTTCGAGCGGCAGTTCACGGCGCCACCACTATGAGAGGAGCAGTTCGCCACGTGTAGGAGGCCCTTGACCTCGGCGACGTCCGCTGCGAGAGGAGAAGAATGTGGTTGACTCTTGATGTAGACTCGTTCACCCCCCATATGAAAAGGATCTTCCAATTCGGTGGGTTTTTTTCATTAGTCTAACTTATATAGTTATATAGTTGTAGTTGTACCTACTCCAAGTGATCATCGGAAAAATGCATGATTTGGAGAACTCTTCTGTGAAACTAAAATGGAAGATGCCCAAGTTCTTGCACGAAGAACCACGTGACCAAGACCACGAAGAGTCACGAAGAGTCACGTGGCTCTGAGGAACTCAGAGCAACTCAGAGTGCCATGTCCACAAACTTTGGAGTGAGACCTGTGATGGATGATATCAACTAATTGAGACCTGCGATTGATGTGATTTTTTTGTGATTGAATGATTCTTTATGAATTACCGAGTTGTTCGCCATCACTCTTTAGACCGGCCAGAAGGCATTGCGTGGCTGCTTTGAGACCCAGGTTTGATCTCCAAGAACGGGACCGGCTCCATGTCTCAGACCACACTTGTAGACTCCAAACAGAACCAACCAAAACCCACCTGACTGGCCTGACCCGGCCCCCCGTTCCGAATGGCTCAGACTGTGTCGTCCTCCTTTCCACCCCACCCACCCCAAACCCAAAAGACGAAGACCCCGAGACCGACCCAAACCGGACGGAGAGACCCCGTCTCGACCGATCCATCGGCCTTCATCCACAAGCCGACAAAGATCGCTCCACCCAATTCGTTGGACCAGCAATTGGAGATGCGCAACTGGCCGCTTGGACCCACCGTCACGCCCTTCCTGCAGGGCAGCGGCAGCGGCCGGCTAGCGGAAAGCGGGGGGCAAAGCAGAGAGGGTCTTGGGGAGGGAGCTCCAATCAACAAATCGGGTGACCAGGGAGAGCAGGATGGTTATGAAATAGATTGGATGTTAAAGGTTCCGAAAGGTAGAGGCATTCTTAACGTGGTTTCAGTAAACAAGTAAACAAGTAAACAAACGATAAACAATTATAAAGAGATTGGGACCTTGTGGAGGCCCGTGTTTTGCAGTGTTGTTCCCCATGCTTAGCAAAGGTCTTAGTAAATTGCGTGCATCAAAATAATCTCAAACAGCATTATATGAAATGTATTGAAATGTGTTCTGCATGATAAACGTGTTGCTGTACTGCTTCAGAATGACAGTTAGGAGAAGCATCCTGAGGCTTCAAGTAGATGGTTCACAGTCTCGACCTGATCTTGTGCTGTCCCGACTTCCAAACTTTGGAGCAACGAATGGGGCTGCACTTCCTGCCGTCCTGGCGGCAATACAACCACCATTGCCAGCTTCACAGCCATCCAACTCCACTAAGCCTTTCACGTTCAGCCAGTTGGTGTTGATGACCCCACCATTTCCTGAGATGAGCAAAGTCAACGCCACTTTTCGAAGAAGGAGGTGGCCTTCTCTTGCAAGTTACAAGTTCTTTTGCACGTGTGGCTCCTGATGTTCCCCGTTTTGAGGCTATAATCATCTTCCCCGCGGGATCTGGAAGGACTTTGACAACTGCCACTCCAAAAAGCATGCTTTGCTCCTCTTCACGGGAGCAATGCTCTAGTTTACGTGAGCTTGGGCAAGGTCGCTTCCAGCTTTCAGAAGCTTTCAGCTGCCGACATCGCCTTCAAACCACTCAACGCTCGTCTCCAGCTCAGCCCCATCCGAAGCAAGAAGCCATTGATGTTGTCCCGCACGGAGGTGCAGTTCCGAGCACGGATGGTCCCTCCAAATTGCCTCGGTACGATGTGACCGGTGGAACGACCGGTCACACCCTACTGAGCCTTGATGAGCCTTCTCTTTGAATTCTAGAATCAATGGGAATCCATGTCTTCACCCCCCCCACCTTGAACAGCACCACCCTGGTCTAGAAAAAAGAATCATCCATCTCTCAACATCCAATGATTTCAACCACTCCAAGCTCCCTCGTTCCAACCGATCTCCGCCCCTGATGCCGGGCCGCTCCACGTTGCCTATCTGCTTCCGCTTCCCTTTGACACTGTACATCGAGGCTGAGATGCCACCCCCCGATTTCAAGGCCAAGCAGTCCTGCAGACGGAGCCGCGTTTTCGCGTGTTTTCGGGGAGAAGACGTGAGATCTGGACGCACCATGTTGCCGTCCTCGAAAAGGATGTGTCCGCCATATTGCTTGAAGCGGCCCTCAGTGCGCTCAGAAACTGTTGTTCAATGAGCTTTTTCAATGTGTTGCTGAAGGAAGAAAGTTCTCGCACCAGCCATAACAAAGAAGATTCCTGTCAAACTTGTTGCATCGGCAGTGCGGCAGGACTGTTGAATCGTTGGGTTCATCCACCAGTCCGCCTCCAGCATCATAGCACCACCATGTGCTTTGGCAAACGCCCGCTGAAAGGATACGTTCCCGGCCTGGAGACATTGGCCGGTGAATGGTGAAGGACACATCTCGGCCGGCGACCACGCATGGTAAGGATCAAACCAGGCTACACCACCTGCCTATTTATACTCATGCCAACTACTTTCTGCAGTCACGCAGCGTCACCCACACCATCGGCCTGATGAGAATAGTGCCCCGCTTTCACGAAGAGTGCCCCGCCGCCGGTGGTCGCTCGGCAGTCTTCGAAGAGCACAGTGCCACCATTCAAGACGAGATGTTGACCCACGTAGAGACATCCACCCCATCCTGCAACCCGGCCATCCAACTAACCTTTTCAGAAAATCGAAGAGGACAAAAAACACTGGCTGTGAGTTCTCCTTTTCTTGTGAAACAGATGGACCATCCAACGCTGGACTACCACAGAGCCACAGCACGGAACCCGATCTAATTATGGGGAGTGATGTTCGGGTGACGGTGGGGCCAAGCGGCTCCAGAAACCGGCTGCCCACATACCCCCAAACCCGGAAGCTGCGCTGGAACCAAGCACCGGGGTCCTGCAACTCCACCTTGAAACCGAAGCCGCCCGCTGTCAAAGGTGAAATTCTGCTCCACGTACACGCCACCTCCATCCTCGGTCTCTTCACCTGGAGCTTGGCTCGTGAGCGAGTCAAGGTGGTGATGGGCCTGCCTTCAAGTGCTCATTGGTGGCCATGTTGTCACTCAAAAGGTGATGATTCCCTTCAGTTCATCTAGGGATCACTCCGGACCCCTCGGGGACCGCCTCCGCAGCTGATGAAGTCCACCTGGGACGAGCCGGCGAAGTCCAGGCTGCCTTCCACCTGCGAGGACGCGGCATGGCACGGCGCGTCGGCGGCGGCGGATGGGGACCAGGTGGAGGAGGACCGTCTTGGAGAAATCTCCGGATGTTCCATTAAGAGCCCTTGGGTCAGCGAAAATTGGGCTAGAAAGAATCATCTAGAATCAAGATACTAGACTCAACTGCACAACAGTGCCTCAGAGAGTCTATATAAGTACCTTCAAAAATCTTGATGTTTGAATACACGTCCTCAAACACAATCCCCCGCGGACCACTGGAACAATGTCTGCTTCCTGTGCCCAACCGGGAATTGGGGGTAACAATCGGCGGATTTGATGGACTTCTTTTTAGTGTCTGCGGTCTTATGGGCCCAAACATGGGACTGGTGCAACTAGCGGAGACCTTGATGAACTCCGAAACGTTCACGCAACGTTTCACGGACCTTTGGCCCTCCTAGACAGAGCAGACTTCTTCTTCTTCTTCTTCTTCTTCTTCTTCTTCTTCTTCTCGTTGGAGCCTTCTTCAGACGGGCCAGCCAGTGACCGTTCTCTTTTCCAGGAAATGCCCGAAACACCCGTGTGGATCGTCCACATCCTCCAAGCCACATCCACGCAGCGATGCTGACGCTCCCGATGCTTGGAACCCCGGAAGACCAAGGAGCCGCTCAGGCGGGCGTCCTCGCGCTCGTGGCACGCGGGGCACCGGGTGCCGTGAGGTGTTCCAGGGGGCAGCGGTCCGAAAGATGTCGATAAGGATCTGAAAGGGTTCCTACCAAACTTTTTTGAGGTACTCCTGATACTCCTTTCTCGTACGTCCTGCTATGATCCTCGCTATTTCACGCCACGGATGGTCTCTTGTGACACTCGACACGGGTCGGACACCGGACTCCACGGTTGGACCCGGTCCTTCAAGAAGTGCACCTCACCCAAGACGTCCACTTCCTCGGCGCGGTGAAGCGTGGGCCCAAAAAAGGGGCGACTGGAAATGAGGGTGGCTGGAGTACGAAGACATCGCTCAAGCTTAGGGCCAGTCCCTCAATTCGCAAGTGAGTTGCTCAGTTGGTTGGTCCTCAAGCTTAGGCTGTCTTTCTGCTTGAGCATCCAGGCGACAAAATCACAATTAGCACCCTGCAGTGGAAAGGCAAAAGCCTGTGTGTCTGTTGTGCAGAGCGATGGAGGATGCAGAAGAAGTCTCTTCAAAACTTCTCAGAT